GGTGGTAGAAGTAGTAGTAGTGGTAGTAGTAGTAGTAGTAGTAGTAGTAGTAGTAGTAATAGTAGTAGTAGTAGTAATAATAGAAGTGGTAGTAGTAGTAGTAGTAGTAGTGGTGGTGGTAGTGGTAGTAGTAGTAGTGATGGTAGTAGTAGTAGTAGTAGTAATAATAATACTAATAGTTCGTCGCTATCGTAATCGTAGAAGCAATCGTGGTAGCGGTAGTTGTAGTGGTACTAGTGCACACACACTCACTCGGTCGCCGTGCCTGTCCGGGGTCAGCACGCTGCGAAGACAGGCTGGTAAGCCCGGCGATTCTGGATCGCACCGTATTTACGGCTCCGGAACAGAGAGCAGTGCAATTGACTGCCCCGGTTAAAAAAACCTTAACTATAGTCCCTTTCGTCCAATGCCACCTAGTAATGCCACCTGTACTCGATCAGCAATGTCATCCCTACTCGAGTCGGAGCCTTGATCATGCCTGACATGTTCGCTGAGTAGCACTGTAGTAGTAGCAGTAGTAGTGGTAGTGGTAATAGCAGCAGTAGTAGTAGTAGTAGTAGTAGTAGTAATAATAGCAGCAGTAGTAGTAGTAGTCGTCGTAGTCGTAGTCGTCGTCGTGGTGGTAGTAGTCGTGGTGGTGGTGTTGTCGTCGTCGTAGTAGCAGCAGTAGTGGTGGTAATAGTAGTAGTAGTAGTAGTAGTAGTAGTAGTAGTAGTAGTAGTAGTAGTAGTAATAGTAGTAGTAGTAGTAGTAGTAGTAGCAGTAGTCGTAGTAGTAATAGTAGTAGTAGAAGTAATAGTAGTAGTAGTAGTAGTAGTAGTAGTAGTAGTAGTAGTAGTAGTAGTAGTAGTAGTAGTAGTAGTAGTAGTAATAGTAGTAGTAGTAGTGTTTGTGATCGTCGTCGTTTTCGTCGTCGGCAGAAGAGACGTGGTGGTGCCAAAACAAGTAATGGTAGCAGCAATAACAATGATCGCGGGTTCTGCAACTTCTTTAATAAATGTTTTGTTGGCACACATGCGAACGGTGATGGTGGAGGGGTTTTCGGTGTGGCACGCATCCGAGCGTGGCCCCAGTGCAGCAAACTGTGGGCGATCGAGTTACAGTGGCGCGTTAATTCATGGCTATAGTGGTGGCCGTGCTCACCGCTGGTACTACTAGATGTGGTCGTCGTCGTAGTCGTGCTTGTAGCAGCAGCAGGAGCGGGAGCAGCAGTCGTAGCCGTAATCGCGTTCGTTACATCTGCAATGCAATGACGCACCATACAGCGGAACAGGGTATGCATCATCAATAATAGCGTTAACCCCACGACGACGACTACCGCCCTTTCCACAAATGGCGGCATCACCTTTCGGGGGAATTGACGATTCGTTGTCGTCTGTGTCGCTCTCTCCCGCTTGGAACTGTAGTCGCGTTGCGAGTCCGCTTGTGTTCGAGACATAGCAACGCCCGATAGACTCTCAGTGCACAGCTTTCAGCAAATCAAAGGTCAACCTCGAGAAACCAAAAGACCCGAGGTGGCGTCAGCAAGCCAGCGAACCGGCCGCAAATAGATATACATTTATAGTATCAAGCTGGCAGAAACGAACTTTACGTAGACGTCCCTGTACGCTGAGCGAAACGAGCCGTCGCCGTCGCCCACTTGTGAGGACAGGACGAGCATTCGAAGAGCCAACTACATGCAAGGAGAGCGAGGGCTCGGCTCAAGCGGGTCAGGATTCCTGGTTTAGATCAGCGCAGACTGCCCACAACGAAGAATCAGCTGGAAGGGCTTCGCTACGACGCCGGATGGAGCGACGATTGCCACGGGACGGATGGCCAACTTCTCGAGAAGGCGGTTGCAAACGGTGAGTTCGGAGGCCCATTCATGGCCGTTCCACCGCCGAGACGACATCAGCGAACCGATGGAGGAGGGCAGCGGCGTCGTTCGGTGCATTTCGATGCTCACTACCCCCTGCACCTCAAAGAGGATGGGCCGGTGCGTCACCACTGCTTCGCGGCAGAGCGCCTCGGTCCGCTGGTGGCGGCGCTTATGAATCGCATAAGCCGCGGCCGTGCCTGACGGCGAAGCGAAGGTGGCATCGCGATGAGCTTGAACCAGTGCGTTGATGACTTGCGCTTCGCTTTCCACTCGAATATCAAAATGATCCAAAATGGGCACGGGAACCTCGCACGGTTGAAGCTTTGATTCATACCTGCGATGAGCCTCGTGCGATCTTGGACGGGTGGCCTTGGCTTCCCTGCACAACAGCTCCACCTCTCAGGCATCAGGTTGACGGCTTTGCTGCCGTGTGGAATGGACCATTCCGATCACTCGACCTTGCGATGCAGACTTTGATATGCCCTTTCGTTACGAACTGCCAGCGGATGCGCGTCAACGAGACAAGTTTCAGCAACGCACCTTTTCGTCAGGCAATTGTTGAGCTTATTTAAATAGCCACCCGAACGGTCACTGTCCGTGCGCGAACGAGGTTGCAATGAGCGTTTCTCATCAATCAGACGACAGTTGAAAGGCCACTTCGGAGGGCCGAGTCACCTCCGCAGCGTTGTCGTCCCTGCAAGACAATATGATGCATATGCTTGTATGTGTCTGTGTACATATATATTTATATATATTCGTACGCAAAGGCTGTGGCGTGGTGCGCAACTTCCGTGGAACTCTCCACACGGCCGGGACTCGGAACCGCCTGTCCGGGGTCTTGGCGCATGATAAAAGCGATGTTGATGGGCTTTGCCGTCAGTTCCTCCTGTTGCTGCAGTCCAAGGATGCTGTGGGACTTTTGGATCTGGCGATCAGTACTCGTCGCAGCGATCATGGCTTATTTCGGCTTCGCTCCCCGCTCATTGTGACTGCGGATGAGACGGCAGGCCCGGCAGGCAAGCTCGAATCCGATGAAGTCACCCCCGTCTTGCGAGCTCGCGACGGAGGCAAACGGCTTTCCATGACCAGTCAGCGAGAGTTGCTTGAAACTGGCTAAGGCATCCCCTGGGCCAAGGACTTGCATTCGCTTTGATATGAAACCCGACTTGGGTCCCACTTAGCTGCATGTCTTGTGTTCGTTCCGCTGTGGCCGGGACATCCGCTATTCCATCACCCTCGCACGCGACGTCGCAGAGAATAGAACGCATGCTTCGTCCACATGACATTGCGGATGCAGCGACTTACCTTTGTAACCTCCAAACGTAGTTCTTTTCGTTGGTTCAGTTCTGTGGTCAGGATACTGGAACAGCCACAGGAGTTACGAGGCCTGCAAGGCTCATTGGTTGGGACTTCGTGGGGTAAAGGAGTGCCTGAAGAAGTGTAGGGTTGAAGCTCTTGGAAATTCAAAGGGAAACGCTCAGGGTTTAACACAACTAGCGGTTTGGGGTTTGCGGCTCTGGAATTTCACGAAGTCAAGAGGCTCCCCGTCAGTTTGATGGCACCGGCATAGCTGAAGCCTGCTCACAATGCGTCTCAAAACAGTGGAGGGTTGAAGGGTTGGGGGTTTACAGCAAGAGCCCTCCGTCAAACAAGGTGCATTCTGTCTACGTAACCCTTCCGCGAGAGCCCGTTGCAGTGGAGGTCTCTGTGTTTAGACCGAACATCCCTTAATCCCTAGAGCACACAATTCCACGATTCTTGAAACCAGGATATTCAGAGAGGAGTCCATGATCCCCAAAACCGGAGGCTCCTCTAATGCCTTCACACGACCTGACCCTTGTCCTTCCAACACAAGCCTAGCAGATCCACAAGACTTGGTCTAGAGCTTGGAAGGCTTGAAAGGTTGAGGTTTGGCAGTGTTTCAGCAGGGTTTAAGGGTCAAGGCGGTCAAGGGTTTTGAGTGCCTTTGCGAAGGATGCGCCAGGAACTGCCCAGGCTGCAGTTGCAACATAGCCTGAACGGTCCTTTGCGGCCTGCGCCATAAAGCCTACACGCCATTAATCTGATGTTGAGGCTTCAATAAATCTCGTGTCGATCGCCGAAGGCTCGCAGGATCGAAGCCGAAGTGCTTGACCACGCTCTTGGGCGGCTGTTAAGTTGAAACAAAGGAGTTCCGAGGAAAATGGTTTCACATTACAAATCACGGCTGCGCAGTCTAACCACCGGAAACCTCAACCACATTGACCCGAAAGCGTGAACTAATCGAAGCCCAAAGCGCGCAAAGACCTATATGCCTGAAGCCCCACATCCCCACTAAACCCTGGCTTACAATGCTCAAGTAAAGCCCTCGATCCTCAGCATTCCCCCGGGCCTTCTCAACGTCAGCTCATTCGCTGCAGGTGCAAACGGCACTACACCCAAAATGGCAGAATCAGCATGCGCGGATTCAGCTTGTAGATTGAACCTTTTGGGGTTCAGGAATTCAAAAGAAGCAAAATACCCGAAACCCAAAAACCAAAAAGGCCAAAAACCCTTCCAAGCCTAAATCCCGCAACCCTGACGGCCCTGGAGCAAAGAGGCAATAGACACAAGCATCCCGCTCCGCTTTCCACAAGCACACAACACATGTTGGCGAGTCACGCGAAGGGCGGCCTTTAACAATGGATCTTCAGCATTTGCCCTGAAGACGAGATCCTGAGAGTTGCATCCCAAAGTCAAACCTCTGAACCCGAGAACCTGATATCCCCAAACCCTGCAACGCCTAATAACTTGAACCTATGTTGCCAAACTCAATGGCCCCCAAAGAGCAGAAGAGTGCGGAGCTCTTTTGACCAAGGCCACAGCAAGCAATTGCTGATCCGAACCCTGCAGTTTAAACCCTAGCTAGCACACTATGACAAAACCCTAAACTCCAAATCCCGATGCCTGAACTTCATAAACCCCTTGATTCAACACCCAAGCCCAACACCTAACCCCAACCACTAGATAGCCCAAGGCCTCTTTTCTTGAGGACTATCATACTTGGTCTGTAACCTCTCGGCACCCTTACAAACCCTTTTGGAAAGCTTATTCACACCGTATGAGTCAATCCTTGTATGAACCCTAATGGCAGACTTTTACAACTCATGCGCATCAACAAGCCCTACGAAAGCACGATATCCCGAGCTCGATCCGGCAGCAGCCACATTAGCCAGGCGAGGACTTGGCACGGGACACCATGCCTCGGATGAAATCGAGGGAGCTCGTATGCGGATTTGCAAAGGTTGTATCATGGTTTCTAGGGTTTTATACGAGCAGACTATACGGGCAGGTACCAGATTTACCAGGGTCTGTTGGCAGTCCATGACGGCTCATAAAGATCGCAGGAATTTAGCTTTTCTGAAAGGGTTTGTTTTTTTGGCGAGAATCAAGGGTCTTGAAAGGCCTTCATGCTTTTGTAGAGTTTTGGGTGTTTGTTTGCAAGAGCTGGGATTGGGATCAGGTTTGCTCAAACCGCTAATGGACACAATCCTTCAAGCCTTTACGTGGCCCTGAAATAAATTAAATGATACTCGGCCGGGTTGGACAGTGCGGACAACTCCGAAGGTCAAACCTTCAAAAACTCAGGAAAATCAGGAACACCGTCAACACCGCTCATTGTGGTACATCCCGCATTATGGATATCTTATAATTCAGGTTCTGTCCATGATTCCACTGTTTTGCACACTGCAGCCCTCGAAATGAGAGCATAGCCGTCCCGAAGCCTACTGACTGAAGTGTGTAGGGTTGCAGGTTCATCTGTCTTGGGGTTTACAAGTCGTCGGGGTAGGCTCAGGTTGTGGACCGTCTTCATCACGGAAAATCTCATCGACAGCCTTCACAACCTGAAAGCCTGCAGCAAAGCGCGGCCCAAGACGCACATTTGCAACTACGTACCGTGTCTGCGGATACTCGGAGCGGAGAGCATGGCGTATGGCCTCCGCGGACTTTACAGAAACGACTTAGTGAGGTTTGGGTCTTCAGAGGCTTTGTGGTTTCAGTGTTTGCCTAGTCCGGGAAGGTGCTGATATGGGAGTCAAAAAACTCAAGCTACCATGCAATAAGACGGCTTCGGTTCGCGCTGCGTGCGTTCTCATCGTAGGATCAGGATGCCACGATGATCAGATCCTCTGGTTTGAGATTTCAACCGCAGGATTTTCCAGTTCACGACTGCCGTGTTGCACCTTAAAAGAAGCCATACCAAGACTCAGAACCATCCCTAAAGAATTGACATTGTGACGAAAAAGCTCAGGCCGGTTCCCTTCTGAGATAGGCCGCTAACGGGAGCTTTGTGTTGAGCAATTCCCCGGTGTTGCGACTCTGTTGGTTTAGCGGCGTCGGTGTACGTACCGTGCCAGATTGACATGACGCTGCAGAACGGAGTAATCACTCGAAACTGAAGTCTGGTTCTGGGATTTCCCTGGACCCGATTATGAGCTCCTTGGTCAGATAAGGTGCACAGCAAAAGACTGGAAGCCTCATAGGCTTCGTTGTCCTTAGACATGCAAAGCCCTGCATCACTCCAAAAGCCCGAAGCCCTAAACCCCAATCCTAAACCCACAGCCCCAAGATAACGCCCGTCTATGCCGCATATTACGCACCTCGGTCGTTACTTCGGCTCCATCGGCTTTGGCTTCGCGATCTCGCCGCTGGTCCTGGATCCGAAGCTGATTTGCACTGTGGGATTGCAGTCTAGTCTTCGGTTCGCAGTCAAGCTTTTGGGGTGTAGTTTGGAGTCTAAGGTTTGGATCGGAGTTTGGGGTCTGGGGTGTTTCATTCAGAACACGAGGGATCCAAATGTGAACTCCAACTAATTGGATTCTGTTTACGAGGACCCTGCAGAACGGAAGCTGCAAGTCTCAGAAACCCATGAACCCTGGCTACCACTTTGACTTTGGGGATGGGCCATTCGGGTAGGACCCCAAGGTATCGGATTGCGACAAAGGCCCCCGAAACGTCAGCAATTGCTGACGGTACGTAACACCGTTACATGGGGTACCTCATGGTCGGATGCTGTTTTGGTCCCTGTGTGATGCAGCAACAGTATTCCTTCTCTTCCACGGTGACCTGTGGTTAGACTATGGGAACAACAAATTAAACGACTAGTAGGATCCTTTAATCACTCCAATTTCGATTCATGCACCCGAATGCAATTGCCTTCGAGATCTTGGTCGGCCTTCGCCGGTGTCCCTGCCACAACCGGAAAAACTTTCTCAATACATTTTCGTTACTGCACGGCATCTAGCCGTCTATCCAGCAAGTGCTCCAAGATGAAAGTAGTCGCATGCCGCTGAGGGCCAGGGCCCTACAGCAACATCATTGTCTTCCTGCCTGAAAGCAGGCTATCCGAGAAAGGATAAACCCAACACCACTGAGAACCATCCATTGAACAGGTGCTGCTACAAAACAGCTAAAGTTTAAAGCTTAGACTTTGGAAGCACCTGTCAAATTCAGAAATCTACACAGATCGTTGTTTCGGTAAGGGCCGTCCCACACTTCAAGAACGGGCAACACAGACCCTTCGGTCCCCTGCATTATGTCGGATGCCGGTTCCTAGACAGGATTGTTGCTGAGGAGTATGACTTAAGATATCATTTAACAGGGGCATGCAACAAAATGACATACAATACGAGACAGTTACAGTATCTCCAATGAATTTCTTGGATCGTTAAAAAGCTGCGACAGCGTTGTAAAGACGCTTTGACAATTAAGCAACTCACTTCCCAAACCCAGGAACTCTGTAGAACGGAAGCAGACGGTCCTCGAAGCGGTCTGCCCAATCGCCCCATTCCGCCTGAGAGCTCTCAAGTTTCGCTACACTTGCAATGGCACCTCTTCTCGCTGATGCTGATGCGCACGCACACTACATAATCAAAAAATAAAGCCGAATCCCACAAGAACCGAGTTTGAGCGACTCCGTCCTTTACCCGTCGATGCCGGTAGGCCCGGAGCCGTGCCTGTAAGTATTTCTGTACTTCGTCGGGCCTCTCCACCGGGCTTCAGTACAGAACTGTTCGGACAATGACGACGGACCATGGAGATGAACATGGTCGTCATGATAATTGCATATGGCCTGCAGGAGATGGCAGGGATGACGGCCATGTTGACGATCATGATCATGGTGGAAACAAGATTTATGTGCCAACGCTGTCAAACCCCAAAACCTAATCCCAAATAGTTCTGTGACCCGTTGGAAGCCGTTTGGCATATTCAAAGCAATAGGTGGATTTCAGGTACACGACTGGCTCTCAATCGAAGCTATGCAGAACCCATCTCATCATTATTCTAGTTGTTATCCGTATCCGCAATTATGATGTACATTGTCGGCACATGTGAATAATTATTATATATACACACATACAAACTGTGTACGTATATATGTATGTATGTATGTAGGTAGGTAGGTAGGTATGTATGTACGTGTGTGTGTGTGTGTGTGTGCATCTGTATGTGTGTGTATGTATGTATGTATGTATGCATGCATGTATGTATGTATGTATGTATGTATGTATGTATGTATGTAATGTACCTATTTATGTATGTACGTATGCATGAATGTACGCATGTATGCATGTATGTGTCGTTCTTATGGTCGTTGGTATTACTATCAGCATGGCTATTCATTTCTACTACGAGTATTTTCAATGTTGTTGCTATGGTTCACTATGGTTATGTTTGTGACGATCATTACGGTTATTCCCACTTTCATGGCTAGCATTCGATGCCACGAAAACCTGCCGGACTTTTTGACCGCCCGGCTGAGTCTCTGAGTGTGTTTTCCCAACGGAAGCCACTGCAGCTGTTCTCAGAGCTGTCGGACTGCTAAGAATACATCAGTGATCCGAAAAGCGGCACCTTGAGGTGAGTTTCGCCGCCTCTTTTCACGTTCAAGGTGCCCATCGAGCCGACGGGCACCTTGAGCCTTGAACCTGGCCGCAGCATCACTGGGGAGAGCGAAGCATGCCGAACTCGTCGTGGTGGATGTCCTCCTTTAACTCATGGGTCTCACATTTGATGTCGAAGCGCTCCATGGTCTTGTAGCCGAAACGCTCATATATGGCCACATTCCTCTCGCCGGAAGTCTCGAGCCATAGGGGCAGGTGTTGGCTATCCGCCCAAGCGTTCACAAATCGCATCAACTTTCCACAGAAGCCCATTCCTTGTGCATCCGGATCAACTGCCACAACCTTCACATGGGCATGAGGACCGCTACAATACTTGCTCTTCACCTCCTCGATGGCGTCTTGGCCTGCAAAAGCTCGGGTTTTAATGGCCCAGAATGCTTCGCCTGCATCGCTCTTGGGTGGCAAGCCTCCTGCCCAAAAGGCTCGCACCTGTTCGAGATGGCTCACGAGCTCTGAGGGGACACCCTCCGAGTAGAGAGCCACGAGCACCACAGCCCCCATGCTGCCATCCTGTTTCAGACCAGCCACTGCGAAGCCACCGTGAGCAACGACCACAGACCATTCCATCCGCATCATCCAATCGAAGATGCTCTTGCGCTTGGGGTCATCCCATTTCTCTTTGAAGGATGGCCCGATGACCCAATCCATTGTACCCTCCGGAGCCGTGGACGCCGTTCCACAGAAAGATCGGGACATCACCGCAATGGCTTCGCCGTTCTCTTTGATGGACTCCGAGATGGAACCGTGAGTCTGGTGACCCAAAACCTGCTTCATGCCAGGGCCGACCTCAAGCGCGATCTGCGAAACATTGCAGCCCATGGCGAGGCGAGCTTCAAAGGGAAGAGGACTTGCTGCTCGGGCCTGTGGAAGACCCTGGCCCTACGTTTCGGGCCATCTCTAATGCAGGCATTTCGATGGGAGAGTGAGCTTCAGGTAACAGCCCCAGAAGCCCCCGGCTCTCAGTTCTCCCTTTGAAGCTGAGGCACACGGAAGCCTTCCACGTCCTCACGGAGGGGATCCATCCGGTTTTTGGACTTTGGAGTCCCCCGACGACTGACAGAGAGAAAGATTTCCCGACAAAAACAACATGAGAGTGTTCAGGAAAAGCCGGAACAGGCTCAAGCCCTAAGACCCTGAACCCAACCTCGCAAATGTCGAAGCCGAATACATCCCAACGGCAGAGATGAAGAACACACCGAAGACCCAGATTTTCATGATGACGTCATCAGGGCCCAAAGGAGCAGCAAACAACAGAAGGGGTTTTGGAGACCCCAATCTACCCTCAACCCTTCGACCCAAACCTCAGCGCCTGAATCTCTACATCGTATCAGTACTGCAAACCTGCTGGACACCTGATGAAAAAAAACAACCGCAACCTTCTGCCGTCCTCGGCTCGGCGCCAAGCAGCATTGCCGCCTGAAATCCTTGGTTTGGGCGCCAGCTTGGGGCTTCTCTGGCCCAGTTTCAATTCAAGTCTTCAAGATTGCAGTCATCTGCTGGGTTGGGGCCTAAAGACCAAGTCGAATGGGGTTTAGGGCCTCAACTTGGCTACTTGACGGCACTTTGTGCACTAAATGCCTAGTCGCTGGTGTCTTACTAGGATGCACTAGGGGCGTTTCGCTCGAATAGATCACGGGAGAAATCTGGATTTCAGTCTCGGGGTCTGCCCCCTTTGGAGTGTCAAAACCTTCGGGAAAGAACTCGGCTCTCGGCGCAAAGGCTTTCGAGTTCAGGAGTTTGCTACACTTTTGAAAAAAGCATCTTCGAAGAACGCCTTCTTCCAGCATCTACCAAGAAACGGGACCCGAAACCAACACTAAAGAACCCCATCAACATGCTTCGGCCCGCATCCCCCGAACTCCTGTCATCGAGAAGCTTTCCATGCAGCGCCGAATGGACCATGCCAGGCTTGAGAAGGCTTACCTGGAAGCTGCATGCCATTGGGCTTCCCTCAAGCCCTGAAACTTAAGGGCTTTCGGGCTTTGGGCCTCCGGGCGACCCGGCTTACTTTGGCGCTTGAGGCTTAAGTCGGTTAACAGCCTGGAGTCGGTATCTGAGGGTTTCAACGAAGTTTATCCTTCCTGGCCTCGTCAGGGTATGAACGTGTTAAAGGGAGTCCATGGCCACAGGCGCGGTGTCATTCTAGCAGTTGGGATGCTAAGGCTCTTCCCATCCACTGTGCCCTCAGCTCTTTGCCGTCGATGCTTCTTCAAACATAAACCTCTCCACATCGTTGGTCTCGACGCCTCGAGTTTTCTCTTGCAAGGAGTTATGACATCCTATGACCAAAGTTGAAGAAACCCCTAAAGCCCTGTACTTAAAGCCTGTTACCGAACAGTAACGCGTTTGGATTCGGCTCGCGCAGCCTTACGAACGGCCCCGAATTTGCCAGGAGTATGAAGACCAACAACATCAAACTAGGATTGATGGTTTCGGAGCTGAGGTTAATGGGGTGTTGGGTGTGGAGCTAGGGTTCGGGGACTAGTGCAGCAAACCTCAAGCCCTGCATCCGAAATCAATCAATGACGAACAAACCCACAGGCAGGCATGTGTACCTCACATTTCACTTTCGTCCTCGGGTATTTGTACTTTGATATGAAGCCGAAACCTTCAACTCAGGTCTGAACCCACTGAAATGGCCACCAAAATGCAGAGAACCCATGACACATCCTACACTCATAATCAAACATCCGACCAGGTGCCGACATGTTGTAGCGTGCAAGCTCCAACCTTCGGGTTGCCAAGCCCTAGTTTTGAGCAACTAGGCGTATCGGGTTCGTGGCTTTCGGATTTACGCGCCTGAAGCAGGAGGTTTGAAGGCTTAGTGGCACTTATGATTCAGGCCACAAGGGCTAAGAGCTTTGGATTTTTGGATAGGTTTTAGGTCGCAGAGTTTCAAGGGATTTTGAAGCAGTTAGGGGCTGAGGGCTTCAAGGCTTTCGTGTTCCAGGGTCGAGAGATCTTGGCGGTTTGTAAGCTGGGATTGCTGAGTTCCCTGCCTCAGGAAAGCTTTGTTGAACTTGTCATATGTTTAGGTGATTGTGTGCCTCCGGATGATGAGGAGACAAAAGCTCCCACGTTCCTGGGTTGGTTAATGTTCGCATTCGCACAGATTGCAGCAAACCCTGGTTTGGAACAACCGCCGGCAAACTCTGAAACGCCAAAGCCACAACTCCTGCACCCTAACCGTTAATGTTGCCTGAAATGCAATCATGAACAATGGGGCATAAAACCACAATACCTAGCCCGATGACATTTCCTCAAGATGGGTCTGAGATTTGCCATTCATCTCTGGCCCCTCTATCTTACGGTCCACGGTGTCTTCTGTGATTCGTTTCAGGGTAGAAGGACCTTGGGTGAGGTGTAGGGTCTTGTGGTCTTGGGCCGAGGCTTTGCAGCAGGTGTGGAGGCAATTCTACGAATCCTTGAACGAATATTACAGCCTGAATGCCCAGAGGAAGCAGTTTGGTTTGTACCGGAACAGGATTACCAAGCATTCAAGCCCCTACAGATCAAGCAGCATATCACGATTAGGGGAAACGGTGAGGCTTAGAGCACGGGGTTCTTCCATTGGAAAATATGTTTCGATTCTGGCCTTACGACCATATGGTATAGTGTTTTCAAAGTTATTTAGGCTCATACCAATTGCATGTTTGGAGTTTAATTGGTTTCGATCCCCACTTTTTCCACCATGGTAAGTCGCAGAGCACCTTGTTCATTTATACCCCCAAATCCATCTAGAAATCTGACGGGAATCCGAAGAGAACACGACAAAATCAAAGCTTCCCTGTACAGACGTTCCCCCTCTCGGAGCCGTCCCCCCAATTGCGATTTCAAAGTACCCGCCTAGGCTGCGAAAACAGCCTTGAGGCTAATGGCTGGGATTGTATTGGGCTATTTGCGGTGGGGTCGTGGTCGCGGGTGATATACCCCCCCTAAGGGTACCCGTGAACCTTCAAACGGTACATCCAAGACTGCAAAGCAGTTGCGACTTTGATTTCCACACGCCCCGCCCTGTACACTGTACAACTGCTTTCGGGTCGAAAGCTTGACGTGTTTTGGGCTCTGGAGTAAGCGGTGAATGAAACTCCTTGTCAAGACATCCCTGGCTTTCTGCAATGGTAGAATCGGAACTGTAGCCCAGCTCGGTCTACCTCGTCTCCAGTCCTCACAGTTTTCAGCTCCTCTTTCTCAAGGGCAAAGCCCGCCTTCTGCAAGAGCTCGAGAGTCTGATCCCGGGGGTACGAGGACCAAACCATGGTGGCTCCCAAGAAGTCGGACTCTAGGCCTGGTTTGGGTTTCCCTTTGAGGGCTAAGTGGCTGAGGGTTTGGGCTTTAGCGTATATCAAGGCTTAGGGTTGGGGGTGGTTGTTCCTAAGGAGACTGGATATTCATGACGTGCGCTGCCAGAATAGGGATATGTGATGTGGCATTATGTGGTAAGCCCCTAAAGTTTCCCATCGTTTTAGCTACCAGGTGTCTCCTCTAAAGGAATTTAGTTCAACGTTGCTGAACGGCAACCCAGAAGCCGCACTCACCCTCGCCATCCTCGAGACCAGATCCCAGGTTAAAGACAAAGCGGCCACCGGGACGTAGCCAAGAAGCCACGCGGACGAAAAAGGCCGCATGGTCGCGGCGTGGCAGGTGGAAAACAGAGAAGAAAGCGCAAATTGCGTCAAAGCTCTCCTTTTCAAAGTCCATCGAAGCCATGTCGCTGCAGAGGAATGTAGCTCTATCCGATGGCACCAGCTTCTTTGCCAACTCGATTTGGCGCTGTGAGATATCCACACCTGTCACTGACATGTGCCGTGGATCCTCCACTACGGCCTTGGCCACAGGCACGCCGGCGCCGCAGCCCGCGTCTAGGATGTGTGCTCCCGTGGGCAGCTCGGCAAAAAGCTCTTGGAATGCATGGAGTCGCATGTCGTCCGGGTCGTCCACGGCGTGCTGGCTCAGGTAAGCATCCGCGCACTGGTTGTACCCATCAGCCACCAGCTGTCGGAACAGCACCCCATCAGCTGCGGCATGGCTCTCAAGTTCTTTGGGGCTGCTGCCTGCCATTGTGCTAGGATGTGCGAAGAATTTCAGAAAGCAACATGGAAGTCTATTGCCTGGCGATGTTAGATTGGGGTGGACATGCCCGATGTATGACAGGCCCTGCTGGGAACATGGCAACTAGTTTGGCTCACACCCTGTGAAAATGGGCGCTGCTCGAGAAGTTGTGTCATTTTGTCCAGTGAAGGCCACACTCCTCGCAGAAGAATGCTTCCATAATCCTCAAGACGTATCCATGTCTACAGCAAACCCGTACACCCGAACACCCTAAAAGCAGCGCCCTGGACACCAAACAAGCTCCATAAAGTTCCCCTTTTCTCGGCCCTGCGGTCATCCAACCTCAGCACATCGCTAATGGACTCCAGCGCGTTCTTGGATCCCGCGTAGCCTTCAATCTGGGCTTAGGATTCAATTCCAAGGGATCGTTCAAAAGGATGTGACTCGGGCTTTACAAAGGCTTGGAAGGGTTTGATGTATAAGGGTTGAGCTTACGCCCATGACGGCTCTGAACATCAAGCGGGATACTGCCAGCAGGTTTCGATTTGCTCGCATTGGCTAGCGAACCTGGCAGGCACTCACATGACATCTTAAGTTGTCGTGGGCTTACAGAACTGAAAAACAAGAGCTTGAGCCAGTGAAGGGTGCAAGGTTGAAGCGTTTAGGGTTGAGGTGTTTCGGGTGTAGGGGCTATGCTACAGACATTGTTAAACGTGTAGCTGTCGCCTGAAACCATGACAGATGATGATGCCTGTGCCTCTCGCGTGACGAATCTGGTTCCTATTTGTTCGGCCCCCGAAATGGAGACGCGGGCTTCAAGCAATTAGGTCTGCTTCTTTGTTGGAGGACGGCCGTCGTGCTGTGCTGATGATGCTCTTGAGAATCACCAGGTTGGCCGGGCGGCTAGTGTAGCCGCTGGTTGGCAGAGTCGGCGCCACAGATCCCACGTTGACCACGCGGCCCGCACCGCTGGCACGGAGGAGGGGCAAGAAGGCCTTGCCAGACTGTCAGAAGCTAAAATAAGCGGTATCCGTATAACCTGAACTTTAAGGCCTGGCATTTCCTTTATTTGGATCCGCAACCCTGAAGATGTAACAACAAAAGCTGAAGGCTTAAGGGTGCAAAACCTGTGATCAGGACATAAGGCCCTATCCCCAGAACTCACTGAATTGGATGTGCTCTATACACCCTGAACCATATTTTGGCCTGAACTGCTCTATCGGTTTACCAACTCTAACCCGACACCCAACAAGTCTACACCCCAACCCATTACAGTTAAACGAGACACCCATAATTGTAAGCAAACAAGACAATCAAATCATTGAATCTTTTTGATGGCAAACCCTGAAAAGCGCCATCTGTCCTATTGACCCGAAAGCCTCACGTGCTAACCTCGAATTAACCTTCATTAGTTCCTACACCCCAAACACTGCCCACCCTGACCTTATTTTGCACACACTCCCAGGTCGTTTGTTGTCCAAGTGCCTGGGTCACGCGGTAGACACCGAAGACATTCACATCGTACAGCGCCATGACTTCCTCTTCCGAAGCTCGCTAACCCAACAGTTCGAAATATGGGGTTAAGCTTTAGTATAGGGGTCAGTAAACGTTGCGAATACTGGATACATGGTCAAAGGTTGTATGGTGACCCGGAGCGATGAAATAGAAATTCGGATGTGGTTAGGATCAGGGTGTGGCAATTTCCAAGACTACACCCGCCCGCAGGATCCCTATCACAACCGTGAAAAACTATTTGCGGCGTCAAAAGACTCCTGGACCCACTGTGGAGCTTGGGGGCTAACGTAAGCTGGCTTTGTGCTTCAAGGCAATCTTAATTGCTCATGATTCAGACCGGCAACACACCCCAGAAGGACAAAGCCTCTTCTGGCATGGTCCTCCAATTTCTCGTACTCGAAGATGAGGTGTCGGGAGACTCCAGCATTGTTGACTAAGCCGACCAACTTCCTGAGTTTGGTGTATCGTTAGGGCTTTTGCGATGCAATGTAGGATTCCCATAGCGTCCTAGACGGCTCGGCAGTGATTCGGATTTACCGGACATATCTAAGCACTACGTAGCACAGATACTACAGATACACAATAGTACTCATACTGAGAGAGGGAGGAAGAGGAAGCACGAGTTACAGATTTTAGGAATCTAGGGTTTTGGGCTTTGGGGTAAGTGTTCGGGGTCGGTACATTGCATTCTAAGCAGAAAGGAATTCATGCCACCCCGTGAACACCGGTCAAGACCGGTTTCAACTTCCCAATCCATCAAAGCAGTGGCAGGGACGCAAATGGTGGATGTCACCGCAGTACTGAAAGTAGTCAGAAAGCCAACAGCCAAACAGGGCTTTCATTCAGATTGTTGCATGTGTGTGCGAAAAGCTGCGACATATGAAATTCAGAATGGAAGGGAAGCAACGACAAAAAACCTGAACGGTGTAGGGTCTTCATTTGAAGGAGGCCCGGCAAGGAACCCCAGACCTGGGCTCGAAGAGTAGGACGGCCCCAGAATCCTGAACCCTAACCCCCAACCCCAAACCCTGAATCCCTAGAGCCCTGAACAGCGCAGAATGGGAGCTCTTCTGCCGGCAGTTGTCAGCCCTTTAGCATCCAGCATGGCAGCGATCTCGTCACGAGCCGTGCGGATCTGGAGGGAATTTCAACCGCGAGGTTTGGTGGGGCCGCTTATCGGAGTTTCGGGCTTTAGGGCTCGGGACGTAGCAATTCGGAAATTAAACCATGGAGCCGAAGCAATGCACTTGACAGCTGTTGGATTTGTAAGATTGCTCAGCGTTCTGGAGTGTTGAGCAGCCTAAAGCTGCGATATGCGAGTGGATCTAAAACGAGGCGAACTGTAAGGCAGCTCTGTCTTAACCACCCAAGCCCGAACACCCTTCAAGCCTGAGCCCAAATCCTTCAACAACAAGAAGGGCCGTTACAGGAGGGCGCCTGCTCGGTGTTGGTCACATCCAAAACGACCGGCTGCAGCATGGGGTAGCTCTGCTTCAACCGATCCTCAGTGAAGTTTAGTCTTCATGGCTCCTACTGTAACATTAAGCTCTTAGTGTTTCGGCGAAAAGCCCTGTGCAATATGGTCTGGGGGGCCAACAAAGCCCTAACCTTGAGTTTAAGCCGTGAAGGATGTTGGTGGGTGTGCAATGCTTGATCTCATGTCTTGGGAATTGAAGGCTGTAGGGAATAAGTCGTCTTGGCAAAGCCGTTGATGCAAAGGCCTGATTAATAACTCCTTGTCTTTGAGGGCCTCCACATCCAGGTCAGGTCTCTTTCACAAAAAGTGCCGTTCATTCGTGGTTCTACACCATCCCACAAGACGCTGAAGTCCCGAAGGACCCCACGCCACAGGCGCACCGAGACTCGGCATCCCGCGCAGAGCGCACGCCGGCGAAGACCAGGACCTAACAACGACACGACTTAGACTCTTGAGTCTGCAGGGTTTACGTCAGACTATGAGATCAAGCTTCTAAATTTCTAAAGCGTGTGGGGCCATAAGACCCAGCTTGATCTGGGAGTTTCATAAGGCCGTGGTCCTTACACTTGAACCGGTCCGCTCTTGACGACACAGAATACGAAGTTTATGCGGCTTCCATTCGCCATCCTTGAAACAGATGCCCGAAGGCAACCCGAATGCTCGGCAGATTGCCAATGAATCGAGCAAAGCAGAAAGCTGTGAGAAAACTACAGACTCGCCAATGTTGCCCAGAAGTCATGACCCGGCTAGGCGCACCCTAACTCCAGAAACTCCAGGCTCTAATCTAAATCTGACCTCAAAGCCCGAAGCCCCAAACCATATAAACCCGATACACTCAAAGTCGTTACATTCTTAATCCTGAGTCCCAGGGCCTCCGATGACAGAGCCACTGCGGCATGTAGTCCGATACCTTGGGAATGCAGTGTTGGGGGTTGGAGGCATTCAGGGTCTTACAGCTCCAGGGTTTCGGTCCAAGTTTTGGAGTGTAGGGCTTCGGATAGAGGGTTTCGGGTTCAACATCTTCGCGCAGCTTTCAGGTTTAAAGGCAAGGGCCTCAAGGTGTCAAGAACCCTGAACCCTTGATGCAGTCGCACAGAGTAGCCTAAAACCCCAAAGCCTCATTCCCAAACTCAAACCCTAAGCCCGAAATACAGTCTAGCTGCAAATCTTACCCAGAAAACATGCTGGTTAAACTAAGCCCTTACAGGACTCCCTACCAAAAACAACCCTACAAAACTCAGACAAACTGCACCTAACACTTCGCCAGAAAGCAGCCTCAGGTTTTGAGGGACTGCAATGCCCTAGACGATCTCAGGGTTTCGGGATAGAAGTCCAGGTTTAGGGTGTGGGTTCAGAGCTTTGGGGTTTCGGTTTCCAGGTTTGGATCCGAAGATTAAGTTGGGTCTGGTTTTTGGGGGGCATTTCAGAGCATCCTGCTGGCGCCAAATGCTCGAAAGAAAAGGACCAAAGCATCGGAAGAGGGCCTACCAAAACCGACTCTACATCGGACTCCAGAAATAGGTTGGCTAGGCTGTGGTAGTTTAAGACAGAAGCAGGACAAGCATGAGGAGAATCAGGCTGGACAGAGTAGCACGGCCAAGCAACACCAACAAAACTAGAACTCCGTGTGTTCGTACGAAGAAAAAACTCAGAGACTCAGATGCGTAGTCAGAAGCCTTATCGTACAGGGGCTTCTTGGAACTGGGGGTCACGTATGGGCTCATTGGCTTTCGCAGTCTACTACTCTTACTCGGTGTCCCATAGTTCTGGAAGACCTTGAAATATGGCAGCAAAAAAAGGCAGACACTGCAGACAGTGGAATACTTATTGTGGCGGTCACTAAAATATGATGGCAGCCCCAAACTTGCGCAGCCCTCTGCTGCTAAACCCTGACACCTGTTGGCCGATCTGCCGCTGCTCGCCCCGGTCACCAGCACCGCGCCGGGGGCTACAGGAAACCTGGCACGCATGCACGCATTGAAGACTTCGGGGCTCAGGTTAGGAAGTGCTGCACGGGTCTCTCAGGACCCACCAAGACGGGTAGTCAAGCTGCAAGGTGGCCATCTCGGATGAACCGCCAACCCTGCACTGTATCCCTGAGCCCGCAAGGCCCCTCAACACGGGAAGCTCTGCAGCCCTCGACCTCGAAGTTTGGAAGCTCCACGAAAGTCAGTTACAATGCAAAGGTGAACGGGTGTTATGAAAACCACATTCATGACAGGAATGCCGACCGCAAAAACATGACCTGCAGTCATTTTGACCCCTGATTTCCAAGTCCCTCAGCCCTAAACTCCGAATGCCTCAACAACGCCACTGAACACCTATATAAACCAGAAATTCGAAGCCCGCTAAGGCCCGACCCCACATGCCGAAGTCCATTAACACACATGAACCGCCTCCGCCCGGTAGCCTCTGCACCCCAAACATCGATCATGCCTAATTACGAAACCCTCTTCATGCCCTTCAACCGCCAAACCCATTATACTTCCGATTTAAATTCTGCTACCAGAAGCCCCGAAGCCCAGACTCAACCCTTAACCCCTGAACTCCCTCAAGGCTCCCAACAGCTGCAGGTGTCCTCTTCGCCAGCAGCGCGTGCAAGCAGGGATGGATCCCAGCCAGGAGCCTGCCCGGGGCTCCGTTTTCAGTGTTGCCAGCCTCTCTCGGGGCTTCGAGCTTTGGGTTTCTGCGTTTAGGGTTCGAGGTTGGGGGTCGGGGCTTGGGTCTTCGGGACCAGGCCACCAGGCTCCGAGGCTGAGGGTTGCGACAGCGAGTTTCTTGAGCATGGTCCCCCGAAGCTACGCCGCGAGTAAAACGATCAGATGATCAGGGAAGTAGGATGTAGTCTTGACGGTTGAGGGCTCAGGTCTATGGCAAGGGTTTAAACTCACTCCTGGCTTTAGTCCGAAGAAAGGTGGTTCGAAGCGGCAGGCTCGTCTGGATCACGAGCAGTAGCTTAGGTACGTGGCTACTGTCTGTCATGGCACAAGACTGGAACTGCCAGCCAAGCACACCGCATGGCTGTAGTGGGATCCGAAGCAAAGCGTCTTGAGGGCGTTGACTACAGAAAGTTTGTCGGCTAAAAATTTGCTGTAGTTCAGGGAGGTGTATGTTTCATCATATATCACACTCCTTACATCTCCTCATGGAGATAAACCTACATTATGCAACTTTCGGTGGGCTCATAGGGTCTGCAACGCCTGGGTAGCGATGAATCAGCCTGAAGGTCTCAGGTAATCGGGGAATGCTTGCCAAAGCTCGGGGTTGGCCTGTGGGCCACGGGCTGGGTTGATTGTAGCATACAACCTTGAATCGTTCACACTGTTGTCCACACTTTACGATGCGGGTGATGAGCTGCAACAAGACTTTGCTGGCGCTGTGCGGTCTCAAGCCACCAAACGGCTCAACATTCAAGCATTACGAGGTCCCTGGAATTGATCACGATGGACAGTGCTACCGGCGTTCACATTGCGACAATAGTAAACTCAATGCACTCGAGCCCGACATCTCAGTTCCTAGTCTCGTTGTCCATGTTCAGCTTAAGTTCACCCTGTCTACCCACGACATCACGTCGAGTGCGACGTTGGGTGCGAATTCCTGCAGAAACTAAACTCATCAGCCTGAATATCCGAAACCTCTTGCACTGCACAGCCCTCAAATCAGTCCTAAGTGCACGACAAACATGACACGGCACTCAAAGAAAAGACCCTCTGCTCAACGACCAACACCCAAACCCCGCGTGGTCGGTGATGCTCTTTGATGGATATACATACTGTTGAGACTCAGAAAAGAAAAGCACTAAGCCCTGCCCCACTGGCACTGCCCTTTTTTTCATCCGTCACAAAAGGACGCACGCGCGCGACTTCTGGACCGGGACTTTCGAGAGGGGTCGGACCACCTGCCCAAAGACATCGCAATTTCGGGCTTCATTCTATTCGATGTTATTGCTGTAGTTGGCACGAAATCTTCTTTGAAGGCTGCAGTGACGTCTTTTGACGTGCTCTTGTGGGCGTTTTACGGTTTGCGGCTTCAGGTTCTAAAGCTGTCATGTGAGGGCTAGGGGTCGAGGGCCCAAGGGGCCTAAAGGCGGACGGGTTTAAGGCATCGCGGTGTCCGGCTTATATAAGAGGTTCTAAAAATTGAGGGGTTGCAGGGATTCGTCTAGGGTTGCTTTGTTTTCTAGACGAGCCACGAGATTTTTCTTTAAAACTGTCTAAACAGAAAATACTTGAAGGTCTAGAGTCTATACATATTCCCCAGGCCCAAAAGTTACCTTGCACTCGAGTGCTGGGGGTTAGTTCATGGGAACAAACCTGGGCACGTAGCACTTCTGGATGCAGGCGGCTGCCGTGTTAGGAGGCGGAGCTGGCGAGGTTGGGGGCTGCTCTTCAGACTTTCAGTCGCACAGTGTGTGGGCAAAACCCTGCATGACCCACACAAAGAAGAGCATGACGTGTTCACTGGTTCGCTCTCCGCGCCCTCCAATGTCACTGTTGATGAGGCACATGTGCAACGCAGGATCTCGTCCTTTCGCACACATGCCTTTTGAAGAGCTGCTTGACATCCACGCCAAGATTTAGGGTTTGGAACGGGGCTGGCTGGCAGCATTTTGTTCATCAGCAGTATTACAGGAAGCAGACAAATCTGGGAGGACGTAATCCAATGAAACCCACCTGCAAAACCGTAAACCTTGAACCGGACTGGCTCCTTTCTAGGTCGGGCATTTATGTTGTAACGCATGAGGCTGTAAACGTCAAACAAAACCAATCTCCACACATGGTCAGGGCCTGCGTGTCTGGCTGCTGTCCCAGTGAGCCACGGTCCAAGGGGGCAAGGACCGCGAAGAGGACCTGGCCATATCCATGCAACCTGTCCCTGACAAATTGGCTTCTGTCAAAGAGTATAAACAGGGACCGATCTAATACCATCAAGCTTCCTATGTCCAATGCAGACATAGGAGCAGCTTGACTCCAGTGACACTTTTGCTTCTAAGTTCCTATCTCTCTGAAGTCCATACTGTGCCATCCTGTTCGACATATTGCTGCTCCGCCAAAACGCATTCTAATCATTCAGCTTGATTTAGTAAATTTAGTATACCCCTACAGTACACTGAAACTTCACAGCTAAAGACTTCGAACCAACACCTCGAACGCCCCACCACCCACAACGGCACTGATGACACGAAGACTACCGGAAACGACCATGACCGCTGAGAGTAGCAATAACAACACTGACCTATCTGCAACCGATACCCATGGCTACTCCGCCTGACTCTGCATTATATTAAGCTCTACTCGACTGCACTGTATTGCGTGCTACTGCACCTTAGTATACTTTGTTCGTGTGCTAGAGGACATACTATACTTTACTTTACTACTAGTACAGTATATACCAAAGGCAGCACACCATGGTGTCTGTCAGCCTCCACAAACTCCTCGTGGGATAACTTCGAGGAGGGGATATACTCACTGGCGCCCGGACCTGGAAGAGCTCTGGGAGCTCCGACTTGCGGTGAGTCTTGTGAGGATGGGAATCTAGGGCCTAGGGTTTACACATTTTGGATTTCCAAGGCAGCATTGTCAAAATTTAGGATTCAGCGGCTTAGGGGTTTCGCAATTCAAGGTTTCGTGACTTAGGTTACACCCCGCACCCAACCCCTGAATAACTGCTGACGGCCCTCGACAGTGACAGCCAGGTCCCGGACAAACATCACCGGTATTCTCTGAGGCTTGGCTTGCTTAGCATGTGCAGCCTGGCTCCCGGAGCACCACTTGCTATGCCAGTCTGCATTGATGAATCTTGGTGCAAGGCGCGGGACTGACTAACTCATTCCAACTCATTCTTGCGCCGTAACACGACGAGCTGCGCCACGAAGACTGCTCTGCGCCAGGCCGCGAATGCTCTGGCCTCCATGGAACCGATGCGCTCTTTAGGATCACCTCCACACCACGCCGTTTCAGCTCCATTTTCAGCTCCAGGGTCGGCAGACTCTGCGCGCAAACTTGGCTGACGGTTGTAAGCGCTCCAGTCGATGGCCTGCAGCCAGGCCCAAAGCCTCAAAGCCTCAACTCAACTCTAAAGCTGACTGCAAGACCCCTAACTCAGATCTCCAATACTGCTCAGTCTTAGACCCCCACTGCTGAACGGATAGAACAACAAACGGCTTGGCCAGGCCGTTGAAAGCAGACGCGGAACTTGGATTTAGTGCTGTCGCCATTTGAAGTCTTGAGGTTAGGGGTTTGAAAGCATTTCTGGATTTGGGGGGTCCGGGTTAAGAGGTTTTTACACTTCGGACTAAAGGTGTAGGGGCTTGGGGTACTTCTGTCTCGGGTCTTGGATAGTTTTGGGGTTTGGCGGATTCTGTGGTTCAGGGTGATTGGGGTGAGTGGGGTTTGAGGGTTTAGCGTTTTTGTGCGGAGGTTTGCGGCTGTAGTGGGTTTGGGGTTTAGAGAATTCAAGATTTGTTGGCAACTTTTGTATGCATTACTGCGTGAGCCAGAACCCCTAAAGCCTTAACCTGGGCTCCGGCTGAACCATTTAACTTCTGTAAGCTGTTCATGATAAAGAATGTAGATGCGTTATACTGCATATAAGTGCACCTATTTGCAACTTACCTTGGCAACCCCTGAACAAAGCAAATCGTTTTATTCTCACACGAGTCCCGGGGCCGCAACAAGAAGAGGAGATGTGGTACCAGGATGCGCCCAAAAGCTGCATGAGGGTCTGCAGCGGCGACGATTTCATGTCAGCGCGCATATGGATACTAAGCCCTGGACCTGGGAAGCCCTAAGCAAAAGCCATAGTCTATGGGGCATGGAAGTTCGAAAGATTTAGATCGTACGGTTCTGGGGAGGAGACCCGGGGGGGGGGGTTCCGGTTTCGCAGCTTGGGGCTTTTGCAAATGGCAAGTACTTCATGCAATCCGCTCAGAAATACAGCACCAAAAGCCGAGCGCTTTGTGAGTCCTATCTGTAAAGCAATCACATGGTCCCTTGCACGATCTCCTTCTTGCAAAACCCAAATTGCACATCGACGCCACACTTGGCACCTAGACACCAGGCTCTATAAGCAGTAAGCCACCAACTCTTGGGCCCTTCTCGGATTTTGTCTGTGGGTTGCGGGGATTTGCTTGGCAGCTCTGTAGGCTTCGTAGCAGTCAGTACTTTGCAAACCCCCTAAACACCACAATAAAGATCCGAATAGCCCATCTTACTGGCACAGACGGCTTCCAGTACACGTTGGTAATGGCATAGCGCATCTCCTTCACAAAAGCAGCATGGTCCAACGTGACCAGCACCGCAAGAGCGGGAATCAGTCGCCAGCGTCTTTGCCACAGCGTCGCCCCTCTGGCCCTGCGGCCTCTCTAAGGGGAGACAGAAAGGCCTATGTGTGTAACACTGTATAGCTGTATAATATCGGGTGTCGCATTCGACAATCGGGAAGACCGGCATCCTGGCTGCCGCTGTGTCAGTGCGACCCCAGGTCTGGAATGAGACCCCCCGAAAACAAAATCAAGAATTACTAGCCGCAGACCCCTTCACTATCCCAATATCACAAAACCCGAAACTCGGAAACCTAAACCCCTAAAGCCCCAAACCTGAAACTAAACCTGGACCCTGAAACCTTAAACCCCAAAATGCACACGTCAGCCCAAAAACCCTCCGACCCCGAAACCCGCAAACCCACTAAGCACTAAGTCCCCATTGACATGCTCTGCTTCAACAGCACCACCGACGTGCGAAAACATGCAAACCCCAAACACAATCAGATTCCTCTACAAGCCACGAACGAAACCTCTCTGGAGATCTGTACACAAGAATGCCCGATGCACACAGACAAACACCAGAAAAAAACACTTTCAACACATCCCAAGGGATACCGCCACAACAAAAACAAGTTAAACCACCACCCCCAAACCCTAGACCAAAGCAAGGAGCCAAGACGCCGCACCACAACACCCACGAGCCGTAGAAGTTCGGCAGAACCCGGCCTTGACCCGACTCCAAGTGACCCGATGAC